TTGGTTAGTATTCAGTGGAGTGATTGAGCAGAAGACCTGCAGAAGCTGTAGCCAGTGGCTTAGCATCTTCAAAAACTAAAAAAGCAGACCTTACTCTTTCCTCAGATATCTGTGTTGCAAGAGATAACATGACTTTTGTGACGGGACAAAGGCATTTACTACCACCTCCTTCCTCTGCACACATTGTGTGTTTATGTCTGTGACAGAACAGATAAGGAACCCTGCAGGAGTGCAGACGTTTTTGGTCATGGCAACTGCTCAGGGGCTAGCATGACGGGGTATGAGTCTGAATACTAGTGCAAGTGATAATAATGCAGTTGGTTCAAGGAGGATTTTAAATTTAGAAGTCTTTTTTTTTCTTTACTGCTAGAGACTGTATAAATATTTCCATCAGTTTCAATGAGATAGGGCTGAGTCCGAGCCAGACAGGGTCTGAAACAAGGAAATCTCAGCAGAATATATTGTTCTCTCTTTGTGCTTCATTCTTGCCTCTAAATTCTTGTTGCAAGTTACAATAGCAGGTTTGATAAAGCATCATTTTTCATTCTATGCCTTAGGAGCTTTAGCAAATCTTCATGGTGCTCATGTCAGCATTCAAGAACACAAAATCAGACCTATATTTTTCTGCATGACAAGTTTCCCAGATCTGAGGATTTCTCATCTCTGGCTTCTGCGCCTTTTCTATATCTCTCATTGTAATCCTTGGCAACAGCATCATTCTTTATGCAAAAGGACAGAAATGAAGCCTGTGTTCTCTTTCTTGGCCGTGTAATACATCAGTGACACGAATTTCCATTTGTCCTCATTATATTTAGCGCTGGGTTACCCTGATATAACTACAGAGCAATCAGATGCAATGCCTCACTCATATCTCATTCATCCACTCACTACTGCTCATGGAGTGGCCTGTGCTCCCCTCGATGGCCTTTGATAGTTGTATGGCAAACCATGACCTTCTGCAGTGCAAGCCAATTCTAAACACTTGCAAAATGAACATGATGGGTTTCACGCACTAGGTACCTCAGGAAGGAAAATGCCTGCAAGTTTTGAGCTCAATACTTAAAAATTGTGTTGGAAAACCAGAAGAGGGAAAATCAAAAAAAAAAAAAAAAGCCAGAAAGTAGAATTCTCCACAAAAGAGGGCTTCACCCAGTATGTGAGCGGTGGATGGGAAGGGGAAATTGTGCTTTTAGCTGCATCTCGGGCTTTGATAGAGATGCCACACTCTTCACACAGCAATTGCACCTTCATCACGCAGCACACCTGGAATGTAAGATGAGCTACTGCTGTTCTCCTTGTGATCTTTTGTTGCGAAACTTTCTGCTTATTAATCAGGAGTAAAGAATAAATGCTGTGGATGATGGTGAGGACAGAAAAAAAAAGTCAGAGCCACATGAGAGGTAGTTTTTGTGATGTTTTATTGTTTAAATGTGGGTCTCCATACCATATGTATTAGCATCAATGTCCAGAGCTGGAAGTGCAGATAGGGAGACCAAGGCGGTCAGCCCTTGGAAGAGTGCTCACTGAACAACACTTATAACACAAGTACACTGCACCTTCTTGCCTTGCCAATTCACCCAATGAAATATTTGTCCTAAGCCCATAGGAATATGAGCTCAGTAGGTACCCGTGCACATGCCTTCTATATTTTTCTGCTAGAACATCACATCTGCTAGATCCCACTCAACCTTTTCTTCCCCAGGCTGGGCAGCCACAGTTCTTCCAGCCCCTCCTCATAGGAGAGATGCTCCAGCTCCATCACCTTTGCAGCCCAAAACTGGACCCTCTCCAGGAGCTCCATGTCCCTATTGTTTTAGGGAGCCCAGGACTGGACGCAGCACTGAAGAAGTGACTTCATCTGTACTGAGAAGAGGGACAGGATCACTCCATCACCCTCTGTATGTACCTGTGTACATCCCTTGTATATTTTCTGCTAGAACATTCCTGGAGGAGATGGTGTGCTAGGTATGCCGGAGGCAGGCAATCTCACATGCATGTAGGTGCCAAAGCTAACAAGGATGGCTAGAAGCTGATTGTCAGTGTAGATGGATCATTAAGTCACACACAGATTCCACATAGGCCAGGAACAGGGCTCCGTCTCCCTGCTCAACCCTGCCTGTGGTCAATGCACACAGAGCACCGTGCTGCTCTGCAGCCTCTTCAGGATCCTTTGCCGGATTTGGGTGATTTTGATGCTGTACACAATGGGATTCAGCATGGGGGGGATGAGGACGTAGGTGAAGCCCATGAGGATGTGCACCAATGGGGAAGCATGCTCCCCAAAGCGGTGGACGATGGTCAGGCCTATGAGGGGGATGTAGAAGATGAGAACGGCACAGAGGTGGGAGACACAAGTGTCGAGAGTGCGGAGACGCTCCTCCCCGGAGGCAATGTTCAACACTGTCTTCACGATGACAAGATAGGAAAGGAGAACGAGCAGGGAGTCGATGCCAAATGTGGACAGGACTGCAAAGAGGCCGTAGATGACGTTGACTCTCCTGTCCGAGCAGGCAAGCTTCATCATGTCCTGGTGCACGCAGAACGAGTGGGACAGAGTGTTGGCTCTGCAGTACCGCAGCAGCCGCAGGAGAAGTGGAGTTGGGAGTACAAAGAGGACCCCCCTGAGAAGCATCAGCAAGCCCGTCTTGGCTATCCTGGAGCCAGTGAAGACCAGGGAGTACCTGAGTGGGTTGGAGATGGCAACAAAGCGGTCAAAAGCCATGGCCAGCAGGATGCCGGACTCCATGCAGGACAGGGAGTGGATGAAGAACATCTGTGTGGCACAGGCCCCAAAGCTGACCGCTCGCACGTTGAACCAGAACAAGCGGAGCATGGTTGGCAGGGTGGTGGTGACCAGACACAGGTCTGTCACAGCCAGCATGGCCAGAAAGAGGTACATGGGCTTGTGCAAGCTCGACTCTGCCTGTATGATGGTCAAGATAGTGCCGTTACCACAAATAGCAATGAAATACATGAGGCTGATAGGAACGGCAATCCAAGGGTGGACATGCTCCAGGCCAGGGAAACCAGTGAGCAGGAAGAGCAAAGGTTTGGAGCTGCTATTATTGGCCATTGCTGGGCACGCTGGTCCTCAGCATGTGTCACTGGCTGCTGACCTGCAGGGAGAACATTGTCCTCAGTAGTTTAGAATAAAGGTCTGGTAGGGGAAGAGAGCAGCTTTCTCTGCAGGGGACACAAGGACAAACCTGATCCCTTACAGGCTTAGCCACCAGAGCCATCTAGGGCCACAGGTGCTTTTCAAATTTCCCCTTAGCCCTCCCAGCCACCAGCAATGCTAAAATCTTCCCTATTTAACTCACAAAGGAAAACACTTCCCTGCCCCTCTCGTTTTTAACTTCCTCAAGTTTTCTGTGCATTGAGGAATGGCTGGTTCCCACGTACAACTTACTGTAGGTGCAAGCAGCCGGAGTGTTAAGGCTGAGTCACTGGTTTAAGTGAAGTGGCAAACCAGTCCATTTCTGAGGTGAGACCTGTGAAATACAAGCTGGGGAAGAAGCTCAGGGCTAGGCAATACTTGAGCAAAAGCAGAGATGTACCAACACATCAGCAGGATGGGACCTGAAGAAAATGGCCGTGAGCAATAGCATAAAAATAAAACCCTAAAACTTTGTTTTTCAAGACGTTTGCTGATCCAGTCTCTTTCTTCTACTACTGGAGCTTGGAATCAATAACCAAGGTTGTATGTTGGACCCCACAGCAGCTTAGACCTTGGGGTCCTGTGAGCACATTTTGGGGTCCATGTGGATTAACATTAGAGGCTGGGACACAGCAGGGCTGTCCTGGGGAGCTGCCGGGATGTCCAGGTTGGACACAGCAATCACAGGGTGGTACTTGGTCCCAAAGAGACCAGTGTGGAAGAAATGGCCCAGAAGTGGTGTCAGGCTCATGGCCCTGCCCGTACAGAGATACTGTAGCTCACTGCCTTGCAGATGATTGCAAGGTCCTTCTCCAGCCCAAGTCACTTCAATACCATTTTCATGACCCACATAGCTGTCTGAAGCCCTCCTGCACCCATAAGCATGGTTACAGGAAGGTGAGCCAATGATGGATCCGTTTCTCATGTCTTGCATTGAGCCGGTACAGCAGTAGAGCATTGCTTCCACATTTTTGAGATTAAAACGTTGAGAAAAACTATTCATTGCGCAGCATGAGATATTCCCATGGCAGTCTATAACGCAGGAGGTATCCAAAATCGAACATAGATGGAAGAATTGCAGTCAACTGAGGGGAGTTTCTTACAGGGATTTAGTCTGATCTTGAAAGAAAATTCTTTGTTCTTTGCCTCATTGCATCCTGGGAATTGGATGTGACCAGGTACTCACTGAAATCACAGGGCCGAGACTGTCCTGGGGCTCGCACATTGCAGAGAGTAACCTGCTATTTCAGCTCTGAAGCAGAAACAG